TGTTTCACCTGTTCTTAGCCCTAGCTTTAAAAATTCCCTTAAGTACCCAGTGGCAAGAAGCACATGTACCAGATCATGTCTTTTCGGGGGTCACCAGGGTTAGTCCTGACTGACTTTGGCCTGTTGCTCTGGGACATCTGTGGGAAGATTGTCTTCTTTTGCTCAGACACCCTTTGTTGGGCAAGTACCATGTTCACAGTCTCCTCCATCCATGGATGCTGATTGGTTGCTGCACTCTGCTGTGTGGCATTACAATTGCTGCCCAGTGTCCCTGACTCTTCTGGGTGCTGGTCCTGTAGCTCTTAATAGCAGATTTCCTGCAGTGTTCTATGGAAAAGTCAAGGAGAAAGCCTGCCTCCTTTTTTGTTCTTAAATTATAAAACATGTTTACATTGCAAACCCAGTGTCTTTGCAAATAAAAGTACATCGTTTCTTTTCTTTTCCTTCTTTGGGCAGGGTCTTGCTACTCAGCCCAGGCTGGCCTCAAACTCAGCAATCCTCCTTCCCTGGTCTCTCAAGCATGGGGAGGGGGCTGAGAGGGGCAGCGTTGCAGACATGCCCCACTGTATCAGACTCTTTTTGAACACTGTGTTGTCTCTGCCTGTGTTCCCTGAGGAACAGCCATGGGGAATCCTGGGAAACAGAGCCTTGCTATCTTTGACATCACTCCTTTTGTGTCCCGTGCTCTGCACTCAGAGGGCAGTGTTTGGCCACTCTATCAATCCACCTCTTTGGGCTGAATTCATTTCAGAACATTGGGTTCTTGTGCAGGATAGGCTGTCCTAGCAGTTCACTGAGAATGCTGAGAGCCAGAGGGAGAGCCAGTCCTCCCACCGTAGCACGTGCAGATAAGAGAAGATAGAGAATACACTGATGCCCTGTTACACTCCAGAAAACTCACTGTTCTTGAAAGCCCATTATTGTAATTATGCTGAACATTGTCTATAAAACCTAGAGTAAAAAAGATTGAGAGATGTGGAGATTGTCCAGTGGCAGAGGGCTTGCCAAGAATCTAGAAAACCTTGGGTTCCGTTCCTTGTTTGTTTAGAGCTTGCCTAGTTGGAGGCTTCCATTAGACATGGTGCCTTGTCTAAAACCACCATGCTTGCTGGAGGTTTTCCAGCATCTCTCTCCTCTCTGATCCATTCTTCACTTGCCAAAGACAAATTCTAATGCTCAGTCTTCATACTGTCAGACCGGCCAAGAGGAGCATTGTCACCAGGGAGAGAGAGGTCAGAAGTGGAGCCCCACAGTTTGCTAGTCCCAGTTCTAGGGTGACTAGAGAATTCATTCATTAAGAGAGTCATTTGCGCAAGTGCCTTGGAACCCCTAATGTGTACTAGACAAAGAGGCTTTTGAGTAGCTTGAGAGGAGGGAAATATGGATAAAAGAAAATTCACCTAAGAGGCATCTAGGCATCATCAAATTCCATGTGGTGGCACAGAAGAAGCATGTGATGTGATAGGATCACTAATAAGCAGGCATACCTAGGGCAGAGTGGACAGACGGGCATAGCTACGGGGAGCAGGGAAACAGACGGAGGCCACTGAGCTCTAGTCCAGCCAAAAGAGGTAATGACAATTATTTGATTGTCCCAAAATTTCCATATTTTATGCCAAGTAAGAATGCTAGTTCTCAAGCCAAGTATGGCAGTGCATGCCTATAATTCCTATTCTCAGGACCCGGAGGTGAGAGAACTACAAGTTCCAGGTCAGCCTGGGCTGCACAGCAGGGTACCACCAAAGCAAGTTCCTCTTGAAGTGACCAATTAGATGCCAAGGGGTCAGGGTCATTTGTATAGGCTAACCCTTGGTTTACCTTACTGTAGTCCACTGTGGGAATAATTCTAGGAATTGGCCAGCAGGCTCACCATTCAGTCTTCCTGATCCCCGGGCACAAGGTGAAGATCTCATTTTCTACAGTCCCTTGTCCCAGAGGGGACACATTTCATCCTGAGTTCCCTACAACTCAGCTCTGGCTTGAGGCTCTTGGGAAGTTTCTGGTACTAGAGTCATACCCTATTTCCTGACTTACTGTTACCCAACTCTCACGCATTACTGTATTTGCAAACACATAGAAAGAGAAGTAAAGATTTTTACACTCAAATGTACTCATCTGTTTTGTGGTCTTAATGCGCTTATTTTGAAAAGCAGTGAACTTCTGGTGAAACTGCCTATTCTGTCTTTAAACCATTCTCCAAAAACTCAGCTAATAAGACAGAAGAGACATCAAGATCCTGAATCACTTTTTAAAGTAAAATATAATGGCATCATAAACAGAAACTCAAGTCTGCAAAACAGAACCAGTGACAGGGCTAGAGCAGTAACAGTACTTGTTGCCAAGCCCGACAACCAGAGTGTGAGTGTGTTCACACCTGTAAAATGCCTGAAAAACAAACTGCTTTGACTTGACCTCCAACTGGGGCAGTTAGGGATGGGTGGACATCCAGTCAGTACTATGGTGGCAGAAAGCTAAGGTCATCCTTTCTGATCTCTGGTTCCTTGAGTACTCGCAGAAGCCAGTGGTTAGGGTGAGGGCATATCTCAAGCAAGCTGCCTAGGCTTCTGTAATCTGTACCATAGGAGTGCTGAGTGGGACACCACTCCTCCAGGCGGGTTTCATACTTACTGGAGGAGTAGGAGCAAGCAGGTCTTAGCCAGTGCTGCCTCTAGCTGGTCAAGGTGAGGGGAGCATGGTGGAAGAGTTAGCACAGGGAGTACTGTGTTAGTAGTGGACATGATTGGGGGGGAGCCCAGCTTGCTTATGGTGTGCAGAACTACCATGGCCTCTCAGTGCTTCTTATGATGCTCGTGGCTTTCTTTAAATGCCGCCTTCCATATGGTATCACTTTCCTTTTGCTTGAAGACATCTCCAGCATACTCTGAAGTGCAGTCTGCTGGCTACAGACGCTCCCTTATGCGAATGTGCAAGTGTCCTTATTTAACCCGTATTTTTGAAGAATATTCCCCCATACACACACATACAGCCATGGTCCTCAAACAAGCACTGATCTACTTTCTGCTGCTATAGTAGTATTTCCTAGCATTGTCTGTATTCCTACCATGTGAGCCACTGGAGACCCTGGTCAGCAGTGTTTCCAGATAAGCTGTACCTCCGTGTGCTTGCATCTGTGACTCCTGAATGCCTTTCCTTCTCCCCTTTGAAGACAACACCTTAGAGGTTCAGAATTCAGCAGGAGACTCATCTTTTTCTGGTGTGTCTCAAGAATGTTTAAGTTAAAACCCTTGTCCTGTTCTAGTACAGTTCTGAGAGCCTCATAATGTTTTTTGCCCTGGAGTTATGAATTACTCTCTAGACTGTGAAGTCCAGGAAGATGAGGACCATGTACTCCTAACTTTGCACTTGGTATCTAATATGGCGCTGGCATCAGTGTTTGGTAACTGGTCAGTGAGTAATGAAGAATGAAAGACTAGATTTCCTTTTATCCCGTTTCTTCTCTGTTCACTCTTCCTGTCTTCTTTCATTTCTTTCCACATTGCAAGTAAATTTCTGCAAATTTACAGCAATAATGGGTTTGTATCCTATTCATTGAAGCTTTCTTTCTTAGCTTTGTAAATTTTGGAAAATGGAGTTTGAACCTTAGCAAACAAACTGAAAAAGTTTAAACATTTGCTCATGGTGTGGCAACTGCCACAAGTCCATCTGTGAGGTTAGTACCCTTATCTGTTGAAGAATGAGAGGTCCGACACGGACCTGCATTATCGATAGCTGCACAACTGGTATTCTGTTCCACCAACATGCCCTCACTGCCCTTCCTCAGGCCTGTAGTTATCCTAAGATGCTCCATGTAGAAGACAAAGGTTAAAAAGAGTTGTTTACAAAGTTCAGGCATGTTTTAGCTAAAACACTTTTTATAGAGATGTTATAAAATAAGAAAGATATTCTAACATTCTAGCTCACTGGGCCTGCTGCAGCTGCTCGTGAGTGCTGTCAACTCCAAAGCCTCCCGCCCAAGCTTCCTCAGGGTCCTGAAGACATTTTTCCCCCTTGGAATTATAGGATCAAAAAGAAAATAGGACTAGGTCTCATCACAGTCACAAATATACAGGTCCCGTCCTCAGACGCCCACGCATGAGCCATCTTCTCTCAGCCTGGCCTGAGTGTCTGGGCGTGAGGTGCTTTGGGGTCATGACTGCACTCCACTTTGAATCTGGAGCTCATTCCATATAAGACAGTCTTGAGGCTGTCACACCCAACTGCTACCAAAGTCATCACCTGAAATTCCTTCCCAGAACCCTGGGTCTCCTTCTTCATCTCCCATTGCTTGAAGGGGAGTTCCAGACCTTTGTGATAGGGGAGGGAGATTTGAGCATCCATTATGAGCAGACAGCAAGAGCAAGGGGTAGGCCAAGGAGGTGGTAGCCAAGGTGTTCACCTTAAGATGCTTAGCAACAGCCTAGCCGCAGTCTGAATCTGAATGACAGGAACTAACCCAAGACCCCCAGGTAACATTCTTTACTGTACTGTTAATTAGTGCTGATGTGCACACATAAAGATGATGATAGAAAAATAGTTCTGATGTTAGCTCAGTTCCTTTCTGGACTGGGAAAGCAGGCGTCCTTTAAAGCTGTGGGTCTGGCTCTGTGAAGCATGGAGCTGCTGAGTCCCTGGTGAAAACTGTCTGCGTTCCGCAGCCACAGGCTCCCCATTGCTTACAGCAACTCTCATTGTAGCCATGAAAGCTGCATATGGACTGGCTTTGCCTGCAAGCATTTTGAGGTGAATGAAATGGAGGTGAGTGACCCCGCGTGTCTGAGTCCACCATCTGTTTTGGGCCTCTTCTTACTGAGGAAACACAAGAGGTTGTTTCCTCTGCAGTCTTTGCAAGCTGGTTACAGCAAGGCTGTGCTTCCTGTCCTCTCTCAGGTCTGCAGTCACAGACCCTGAAGTTGAGGCTCTCATAAGATTCAGGAGCTACAGGTTGGTGATGTTGAGAGTTTAAAAATGAAAAGGCCTGCTTAATTTTCCCTATCTTTCAGGAGCATCTGAAGGCCTTTGATAATGAAGTCAATGCTTTCTTGGACAACATGTTTGGACCACGAGGTAAGTGAGCCACTTGGGAACAGGCTGGAAGAATGCCATTTGCATGTAGGGAAGCATCATTATCTCTGGGGTTCTGAGAACAGCACAGCATCTATCCCTATGAACTGTAAACTGCCTTCCACTAGGTGGCCCTTTCCCAGAAAAAAGCCCAGGTTCTTCTGCCTCACTGTGTCTCCTGGGATGAGGGCAGGTGAAATGATTTTTCTTTCCTCTAAGGTACCAGCCATGAAGCCTTGTGGCCTGTGCCTGCTCCATAACCCCCCAGTCTCCAGTCACAGCCTGTCTTTCTCACTCTCGTGGACACAGGCACCCTTTGACTCCTCAAATATGTAAAGTTGTTTTATTTGCTGTTTTCCTATGCCTGGAATTTCTCCCCCCTGTTTTCCTCTTTCCCTTCTGGTCAGCTCCTTCTGCTGCAGACCCCAGCTGAGGGCTGTCTTTCTTGGGCGACTTCCTTTATGCTACACCTCATTACTCCAGGCTCCACATTCCTCTCTTGCACAGGCTTCCTGGTTGCCACTTGTCTCCTGAAAGCAGGAGCCATAACTGCTCACCATCTATCATGGGGTTGTCAACAGCTTGGGACAGAGGAACTGATTTCTGACTAGATGACGTCTAGACAGATGTTTTGCTTCACTTGAGCTTGGGTTATTTGACAAGCCTGTGGGAAATCCACAGGCTTTTCCACAGGAAGCCTGTGGGGTTTCCACAATGGGTGTCCTCAAGACCGTGAAGATGGGGAGGGAGGCCAAAGTTTTCCTTCTTCTCACTGCTTGGAGATCATTTGACTCATTCCCCAGTTTCCGATGAGGCTCTGAAACCTGTTCTAAGTGAATGGTGATTTTATAGAAACTGTGCAGTTTGAGGGGGTGTTCTATTCTTTCCCCTTGAGGGTCCTTCATGGTGGGCCAGCAGTCTGTAACCTCTGCTCTCCCTGCTTATAGTTCTAGTGACGTGGAGGAGGAACTGGCCCAGAGTGAAGGGCATAACCTCTTGCGTAGGCAGGAGGTCACAGGAGCTGTCTGTGCATTCTTGGGGACCACAGCTTTCTGTTTGATTCTCCAGCAGAGAGTTAAACATTGATCTCTCTGAACTTTGCTGTCAATAGATTGGTGAGAGCTGGAGTTAATGTAGACTCCGGGTCAGCTGAGGAAAGGATTGCAGAGGCTGACTCTGCTTCATAGCAGGGAGATTATAAAATGCACTGTAAGATCACTGAATTGGGTTACTACAGTCACATCAAGAATCCCTGTGCCTTCCTAAAGGTGACTGCCACACCCAGCCACCTTGGAGGCCTCCTTAGCTTTTTCTAATCTTGTACACAAACACCAGTGGTACTGAGGGATGTACCAGAGTATACACTTGCTGCCATGTTTTAGCTGCAGCAGGTATGATCACCTTGAATATAACACGTGGATAGCAGCATGACAGTCTCAGTAAAGACTTTCAGGTGACAGACGATGTACCTTACATGACATTCCTCCTGACACTACGGATGTAAGTCCAGGGGAGACGAGAAGGAGACTGGTTCTTCTTCGTAGAGCACGGGTGGAGGTTGCCAAGAGAAACCTAGCACAGGGAACAGTCAGGATGTGTCAAAGACACTAGGCCATAAGTATGCATTCCCTAGGACTAGGGTGCTTTGGAGGTGACAGAAACACTCCTGCAGTTCTGATGTCAAGGTAGGGCTCATGTTGTCCCCATGACATCTGGTGCTGCTCTCCCAATGCTGGGTTGCTGGCAGGCTGGTGTCCTTGGCCTCTAGATGCATCACTGTCTTCAAGTAGTAGTCCTTAGTTCTTCTGTCCCTGTCTTTAAAGACGCCACTGACTGGGCTAGGGCCTGCCCTAATCAGTATGATGGCATCTTACCACAGTTGTAGCTGCAGGGACCCCAGTTCTGAGGGAAGCCACATGCAAGGCAGCAGGAGTTGAGTGTGTCTTAGACACAGTTCAGAGGCAGTGCTCTAACTTGTAGGGAAGCTAACCACTGTGAGCTTTCTGCCCTCTGTGACTCTATTCTGGGGTTCTGGAAGGAACCCCAGGAATGGCCTTTCTGTTTATCTGAAAGGATTGCTTTGAGAACTCCATCATTACAAATGAAGGCTTTAGGTGATGCCTAGCATGGAGAACATGCTCACAGTTCTAGCTGTGGCAGGATAGCCTGAGTAAGAAATCACAGTGGCCGTTACCTTGTTGAGGATATGAAGCTGTGGTTAGGAAAGGGGGTGGGAAATGGCTCCCTTCAGAAAGTAGGGTCTGCATGCAGCAGGCCTTTAAGGGCAGAGCAGGAAGGCACATAGCACACATAGCACAGGTGCTTCTAGGGGGGGTGCTAGCTGACGTCAGAGAGGCTGTAGCAGATCTGAACCCGGAGCTCCCATCTTCATCCTTATCAGTGAGGGAGGGAGCTGTCTACAGACTTATCCCTGCCACAGCAGCCATGCTCACAAAGGCGCTCTCCTCATTAAGGTAGTCTGTAAGGGTGTTAGGAAAAGGTCAGAACAGACAGTATAGGACAATCCAGGGAGAACCAGCAAGGTCAAGAAAGGGACACACCTGTGATGGAACCAATTTTTTATGCTGTCTGTGTAGGATGCAAACAGCATGGAAATATCGTGATTCCAGGCCAGCCTTTAAACAAAAGGAGGCTAACAAGTCAACCTCACCGTGCATACAGGCCACTTCCAGGGGTTACCTTGTGATAGGACTTGATCATGGGATTTGTATGGTGTCAAATCTTTACTCTCTGGAGGAGTGTGGTGAATCTTGTCCCTGCTATTGACACTTCTATCCTGCTACAACTCTATATCTGCAGCTTTGTAGGAGGCCGTCCTCAGCCAGCCACTCCAGGGCTGTGCCGTTTTTGTCCTCCGTGGCACCAGTGTCACATGCTCCCTGTTGTGGAATGCCACTACCCTGTGAACTCAGCAGGTTTATTACAGTGAACCTGTGCAAATTCTGGGCATTGCCCACTGCCCCTGGTCCTTCCTATGGGAGGTACCCAGCAAGGCGTCTGGGTTGAGGTGGCAGCTGTAATTCAGTGCAGATGCTGCTGCCCTCCATTGTATTGCCGATCTCATCTATAAGATGTGTCAACATGAGCAAAGGCAGTGACTGGTGTGAAGCACTTGGGAGCCTCCACCCTCCTTTCTCTCAGTTGGTGTACAGCTGGAGCTATTTGTTCCATGGAAGCTCTGTAAATGTAAAGGTGTGTGTGCACACTTCTGTGCACTGTGTATGTGCAGGAGCCTGCAGAGGTCAGAATAGGCATCAGAGCCCCTAGGCCTGGAGTCACCAACAGTCATGAGTAGCCCTGTGGGTGCTGGCCACTGAACCAGAGTACGCTGCAAGAACAAGTGCTCCTAACCTCTGAGCTATCTCTCCAGCCCATAGGTATCAGGTTTTCTGTTGTTGTTTTTGAGACAGGTTCTTACTATGTATACAAAGGTCTGTTGTTCTTGTTTCTGAGACAGG